ACGGAGCGGCATGAAAAGTTATTTTTTTCGAACATGTCGTTTTTGCTATATATCTAATACTTATTGACAACGCCGCATAGTTAAGTAAATAATTGACATTATTTATAAATACAAACGCTATTTGTCATTATTAGACATGGGTGAGACGTTCTCAGTCTCGGTCCAAGGATCAAGATTTTCTTTTGGGAAGGAGGGGAACCAGAGCCGAGACGGAAAACGGCTGCTATCCTCATATCCACGTTAGATTCATGCCAAGACAGGGGCGAGACGGTCCGGACTTGGTCCTATTCCTGCTAAAAAACGTTTTGGCCCCGGGACCGGGATCGTCCCACCCATATCTAATAATGGTAAATAACGCTTGTATTTATAAATTTTCTCAATTATTTACTTAACGGTGCGCAGTTGTCAATAAGTATTACATATACAGGCAAAAAAACATATAAGAAAAAAATTTTTCAATTCGTTTTTCCCCCAATGGTCACTGGAGTGATCATTGTATGGCTTACCATTTCTTATCTACCTAGCTTTTGTGAAACTGTCGAAAGGCATTGATATCAGTAGTAGACATTATCGTCGATATATATCATACAATACGTCTCCAAGATGTATCTTGCCTGTTGGTAGAAAAATAATTGTTAAAAAAATTCAGCTTTTATAGTTTTTGTAAAACTTACCGATTTTGTAACTCATTGTTTTCGGAGGTAGAGCAACAAAACAAAGTATTCTTTGGTTATTCAATGGTCATTTTATGAAGTTCACTACAAGAAATGTTCCCAAAGTTTTTGAATTCCATGCTTCCTTTATTTTTTACAATCGTACTACAAATGGTCACTCCAGTGACCAAGGGGGATATAGGTTAAGAAGTCTTTGTCGCCACCAGCATCATCGCGACTTCTCTTATCATACGCATCGCCAACAGTTGCCCCATCAAGCAACCAATCACCTATTACCACTCCCAAGCAAAGAAAATGGAGCTAGAATCGGGCGGTTGGAGCTAGATAACACGGTTTTTCACTCGGTTAAGCTAGCTCCACCCTCAAACAGTTCAACCTACTTTGGGGCGGTTGGTGAGGTTACCAGCTAGGTTTGAGCTATCGAGCTAGCTTTTTAGGAAGCGAGCATTTAGCAGAGTTTTCAAAACTATAACTCTAAAGCAGCAAGGACACTTGAAGAAGCGTATAAATCAATCCCACTACGAATAGTAAGAAAGCAGAAAAGTACAACCCTTTTGCAGATTCGAACCTGCTAGAGAGTAATACTTTTCTGCTTCTCGTATTTTCTCCTTGAAAAAAGTATTTTCGAGTTGTATCTTGCAGATAAAATGTAGCAATTAAGCTTAAGCTTAATTTCCTGAATTTTATCTGCTGGACTCAACTTTGTACAAATCGATCTTCTCGGTGGAAAACGGCTTGTACTCTGTGGAAAACGGGAGGTTATTCTTTTTTTCTTACTTTTTAAGCTAGCTTAAAGTGTCCTGTTAACCGGTAGTTTAACCTACTGGACAACCACCCTCTTATTGAATATATTTCGTCTTCGGAGCTAGCTTAACCGGTCAGTTAACTGGGCGGCTTACCTAGTTGTCAATCGCCCGCTCCTGCTCGATTATGATAACCCAGCACTCGGTTTACTACTAGGTTGGAGCTAGCTAACTAGGTAAAAAGGTACATTTAGCTAGATCCATCAAGTGAATAACCGCCCTGTTATGTAGTTCATGGAGCTAGATTTTCTCCAGCATTGTTGCTTGGGCTGCAGAAAAACAGACAGTAAATAAGATGAGTTTAAAAATGTTGGTCGCATATTTAAATAACATTTTCTTTAAGGAATCACACACGCCTCCGTTGTCTTCAGTAGGTATACGTCAAGGAGATTTGGTGAAGGAAAAGGTATGTGAAATGGCTTATTATACGGCTCGGCCAAATGTAACGTAATTTCATTTTTTCGCCGTATTTGCTCTCTAACTTTTGAACCAACGAAGCGGGCGCTTTGAAACTTTTACCATAGATTGGAAGGGACGTGTTCTATCACCAGTAAAAATTTGAGAACATTTGGACGAGTGGTTTGGGAATTATTAAAAGAATACCGTCCGTCACTGAATTTCACAAAATGGAATTCTTCATGGATCGGGCACCAAAGCATTGCATTTTTATACGAAAGTAAGATAGCTACAGGAAAACGTTTCAGACAAAAGTTGTAGAATTTGAAACGAGCTTATAGAATATCTGCTCGTTTTATTGAAACAGATTAATCCACTCAAAGAAACTTCGAAAATAGTCGTCTTCACAGACTTTCAGCCGTCATGGAGTTTCATCTTCTTTTGCTTTTTGGCTCAAAAACCGATACTGGTCGAACAATGAGTGCAAAATAAACATCAGATTCATGCCAAATATTAACTGAAAAAGTTGACCTCGTAACTATTTTTCTAATTATTTTTACCACTTGTTCGCCTTCCGTGGTTTCCCAATGCGAGGTAGAGATTTAAAAATTTTTCGGGCCTGCATTAACATCTAAACCCTGAG